GGGGGTTTTCCCTATGCATTAAGCAGCAGACACCAGCTGAGGGCCTTCTAATTCAGTTCTGACACTATCTACCAGGTTGGAGGCTTAGTCACTAAGACTGTTGCTCATACCCTCAGACACTAGTCGCAAGTTTCTGAACAAATGGCTTCACGTTGGGGTTCCCACATCTTCTTAAAATTGGGTTCATTTAATTTTCTAGAGTAGCTCACAGAACTCAGGGAAACACTTACATTTACCAGTTTCATATAAATAATACTGCAAAGGATACAGATAAAAAGAGGCATAGAATTAAGTATGGGGGAAGGGGTGCGGAGCATCCATGCTCTCCCTGGGCATGCCACCCTTCAGGAACCTCTGCATGTTCAGCTATTTGGAAGCTCTTCAAATTCAGCCTTTTGGGTTTTTATTAAAGCTTCATCATGTCAGCATTCCTTCCCCCAAAGTATAGGTCAGGACTCTTTCTGTTGGAAGGCCTGAAGACCCACAATCAGATAGGTGAGGGAAGACTAGAGTCCTGCCTTGGGGCAGGTGAAAAGAAGGTAGGAAAAGGTCAGCAGCCTCCCCCTGTGGCCTAACACACCCAACATTATAGCAAAAGTCTGTAACAAGGCCTAGGGAAGTTATAAATCAGGAGACTTGGGTGAAAATCAACATGTATATCATAACACCAAAAGATCATTATTCTTTTTAATGTACGTATTTACAGGTATAAATTTTCCTTTGAGTACAGCTTATACTGCATTCCCTAAGTGTTGGTGTATTGTGTTTTAATTTTCATTCACCTCCTCCAAGTATTTTTAATTTCCCATGTGAGTTAATTTTTGACCCATTGGTTAAGAGTGTGTTAATTTCCACAAATTTATATATTTTCCAGTTTTCCTTGTATAATAATGCAATACTTACGATAATTTCTAGCTTTATTCTACTGTGCCTAGAAAAGACACCTGTACAGTTTCAGTCTTTTAAGACTTATTGAGCTTTTATGGTGGCCATTCAATAACAAATAGGTTGCAAGCCAGATAACATTTCATGTGCATTTGAGAAGAATGTGCATTTTACTGCTGTTGGGTAAAATGGTGTGTGTGTGTGTGTGTGTGTGTGTGTGTGTGTGTATGCTTGTTAGGTCTAGTTGTTGTATAGGGTAGTTCAAGTCCTCTATCTCCTTATTGATCTCCTTTTTAGAAGTGTTAAGCATCATTGAAAGTATTGTATTGAAGTCTTCAACTACTATTGAACTGTTTATTTCTCCCTTTGTTCTGTCAATGTTTGCTTCATATATTTTGGGGCTCAGAGTTTTGGTGCATATCTGTTTATAATTGTTACATCTTTTTGATGAATTTGTGTCTTATCTCTTTTATCAATATATAATGTCCTTTTTTTGCTATATAATGGTCTTTTCATTTTTTAACAGTTTTTGACTTAAATTATATTTTGTCTGATATTAAAAGAACAACTTCATTTCTCTTCTGGTTACTATTGGCATGAAATACCTTTTATCATCACTTCACTTTGAATGTGTTTGTGTCTTTGAATCTAAAGTGAGTCTCATGCAGACAACATATAGTTATCATTTTTTTAAAAAATTCATTCTGCCAATTGCTGCCTTAGAGAACCTAATCCATTTGACTTTAATGTAATTCTGAGAAGAACTAATTTTGACATTTTGACATTTTTCTATATGCTTCATACCTTTATGGTTCTCATCTCTTCCATTAATACCTTCTTTTGTATTTAGTTGACTTTTTTGTAGTGAACCATTTTGATTTTCTTCTTATTCCCTTTTGTGAATATATTTTTAGATGTTTTGTTAGTGACTACCATGGTGATTAACATCCTAAATTTATAACATCTATCTTAAATTGATACCAACTTGACTTCAATAGCATTTAAAATCTCTGCTTCTAAGTACTCCATATTTCTCACACTTCATGTTGTTGTCCCAAATTACATGTTTATATGTGTATAATACCATAAACATATAGTTATTTTTAACACTTCCATCTTTTAAATCATGCAGGAAATTATAAAATGACATTATAAACATAAAATACAGCAAGACTAGCTTTTATATTTTCTCAGGTACTTACCATTACTGAGGATCTTTATTTCTTCATATGACTTTAATTTAATGTCGAGTGTTCTTCCATTTCAACATGAAGGAGTCCCTTTAGCATATCTCAGAGGGCAGGGCATAGTGGCAATAAACTTCCTCAGCTTTTGTTTATCTGGGAAACTCTTAATTTCTCTCTCATTTTTGAAGGACAGTTTCACCAGACATGGTATTCTTGGCTAACAGATTTGGGGGGATTTTTTCTTCTTTTTCTTTCGGTACTTTAAATATGTCATCCAAATGTCTTCTGGCCTTATGGTTTCTGTTGATGAGAAATCAGCTATTAATCTTTTTGAAGGTCCATTGTATATGACAAGTTGCTTCTCCCTTGCTACTTTCAAGATTCTCTTTGTCTTTTTCTTTCAGCGGTTTGACCAGTTTGTCTTTATGTGGGTCTCTTGGTGTTGGAGTTTTTGAGATTCTTGGACTTGTAGATTTATGCCCACCATCAAATTTGGGAAGTTTTGTTTGGTATTTATTTACATATTCTTTCTTCTACTTTCTCTCTATCTCTGGGACTCTCATAATGCATATTTTGGCCCACTTGATGGTGTTCCACATGTCCCTTAAGCTCATTTTACTTTTCTTCATTATTTTTTTCTATCTGTTTCTCAGACTCAATTTAATTGTCCTATTTTCAGATGAACTGATTCTCTTGCTTGTTGAAATCTGCTGTTAAAGCCCTCTAATAACATTTTCATTTTGGTAATTGTACTTTCAGATGCTGTTTCTGTTTGGCTCTAATTTTTGTAATTTGTGTCTCTTTATTGATATTCTAATATGGCTACTACATTGTTTTTCTTATTTCCTTTAATTGTCCATTACTTTTTAAAGAATATTTAAGACAATTGTTTTAATGCCTTTGTCAAGTAGGTACAACATCTGTACTTCCTCAGTGACTATTCTTTTAATTCCTTTTGCTTATTTTTGTTTTGTGACTATCCTGAATTATTTTTACCAAGACTGTGTTCTTTATTGTTGAGGATCACTGAACTCTGTGTTCCTTACTTTGTGTTAAACTAGTGTTTTTGAATGCCAAGCACTAAAAACAAAAATAAAATACAAAATCTGCAACAAACAAACACAACCAACAACAATCCATCTCCCTCAGTATTGCAGATTGTTTCTGAACCTGGGCACGCCTTCAACATTTAGCCAGATTTGCACTAAGCCTGGAGATCAGCCCAAAGTGAAACCTTAGGTTCTTTTCAAGGCATGTGTTTTGCCCTGGGCATGCAGGGGACTTTCTAAATTTCCCTGCATTCATTTTCTTTTTAAACAACCTAATTTCCCAAAGAAACTCTCTTCAGCTTTTGCTACCAAGCCTTATGCTCTCTATTTCATGTTTCAACTATAATGTTGTGACCCACACATTTGAGGGTTGTGACTTCGGCTTACAGTGTTTTTTAACAATGGTCACTACTTTAGCAAACTGAATTCAAAATTAAGTGAAACAGAGATGAATTCTTTGCATCAGTCCTTCAAGGAATGTCTTAGACAGATTAAAACAGACGTACATAACCATTTGTGAAGAAGGTCGTCTCTGCTTCCTCTGGAACTAGGGACCAAGGGCCCAAGCTACGAATGTAGACTGCCTACCACTGCCTCAATACAAAAAAGCATTGCTGCATCCAGGAGGAGGTAGGGGGAAGGCAGGTAAAACCATCACAAACTTCATTGTTGTTTCAAAGTTGCCTTTTTCTTGACTTAACATTTGCTTAGTTGCTCTAAAATTTTGACTTTTTTTCAGAGTCCTGACAAAGTTGATTCTAACAGTTTCTATTTATTTTTTGATATTTCTCTAAAGGAATGAGTTCATGAACCTGCCAACTCTACCATTTTGTTAATATCGCTCTTTGTTTCTGTTTAAGTAAATGTACTCAATAATAACATCTACATAAAATCAGTTCTTGTTAAGATATTAACATTTTAAAAATATAAATTCTAAGAGTTTTAAATATAAATTACTCTGCAAAGGAAAATAGCTGATAAATACCAGAAAGGAATACATATTTCACTGTTATGTGATCAGAAGATTGGTGTGGTTAAAGAAAAAACATTTAAAAATCTATTACTTAACATTCAATAAAGAAAAAGTGCAAAGAAAATGCATAGTTGAAAAAAAATCAGGCTATATTATGGTTATATGGGTGATTGAAAGCCAAAGCCACATCTAGTGCCAAACAGATGTTCCTAAAATTCCTATATACTGTCTCAATGAATTAAAAAAAAAAACCTCAACATAATTGTCTCCTAATTTTGCTTTTCTGAGGGAACATTATTAATTGTCTACCTGATAAACATTGACTTTTTCCTCCTCTCTGCCAGAATCTTGATTTTATTTAGTTAACATGGGATCTTGAGCTTCACCAGCCTTGAGCTTCTCCAACTCTGGAGGGTAAATAATGCTTATCACTGTAACCCAAGGATGGTTATGTCTTGACTGTGATTGCTTTGGGCATCCTGATCAAACAAATTACTGAGGGTAGAAATATTTCATTTTACCCTTAATAGCAAATATTATTACAGTTGACCCTTAAACAATTTGAGTTTGAACTGTGCACTGTTCCATTTATATATGGGTCCTCCACCTCTACGACTCCTGAGAAAGCAAATCCAAATCCCATCTTTCTCCTTCTCAGCCTATTCAATATGAAAACAACAGTAAAGGATGAAGACATTTATGATGGTTCACTTCCACTTGATTAATAGTAAATACATTTCTCTTCCTCATGATTTTCTTAATATTTTCTTTTCTCTATTTTATTGTCACAATACAGTACATCATGCATATAAAATGTGTTAATTGACTACATTATTAGTAATACAAAATGTGTTAATTGACTACATTATTAGTAATACAAAATGTGTTAATTGACTATTTATGTTATTGGTAAAGATTCTGGTCACCCGCGGGCTCTTAGTGGCTAACTTTTTGGGGAGTCAAAAGTTATATGTGGATTTTTCACTGTGCAGGGGGTCAGTGCTCCCAACCTCTGTGTGGTTCAAGGGTCAACTGTATATGATTTGTAATAGGCACATGCTTTAATGTAATACTTTACTTGAGTACAAACTACAATGGTCTATACATTTTGAAAAAATGGAAAGTTTTGATTTGAAGCTATTTAGATAATTTAGGTGGAATATGTTTGGCCCTTAGATATCAATGGTTATTCTTCATTTTCTACATCCCTTTGCTCTTTCTTTTTTCTTCTTCTTTTATTTAAATATACATTTTGCATTTAATGTGATGCTAGATGGCTCAACAAGTAGAATACATTCATTCTGGTCAGCTGAGCTATTTTTTTGAAAAAACCAAATCACAAATTTCTGTTTTTTTAATGGAGTGAATGCAATTCAACATTCCAAAGTAAATTAAGTCCTCAATTTGTATTAGTGCTATTAGGTTCTTTTCTAGACTGGACTGAACTTCATAGATTCTCTCAAATACAAAAAGGATTTTTAGATTACTTATTAAAGATATAACTATGCATAAGTGATAAATCAGCACACATATACCAGACAGCACTAAAGTATTAGCAACCCATAGGCACTGATCTCAGACATCCCAAGCAGGCTAATAATGCACATCATTCTTTCAAAAACCATTGTATTTACCTTTTGAAGAAAATACCTAGATAGTGGAATTGAACACAAAGAATCAATAACTAGCTGAAAGTACAGCCAGGGTTTGAGACAGAAAGTGTACATTCAGAATTCATTCTCTTAACCACAAAATTATGCTGCCAGAGAAAATCAGCAATGTTAAACAAGTAGAAGAATGTTACATGATAAAAGTATATTTCCAGTAGGCTGTTTACAATAATTTCAATTCCAAGGTAAGGTTTTTGCCTTTTTAAGTTGGAGGGTTGTGAATCTACCACTTGGTTACTGTGTGTGGTGAGACTTCAGAATATGAAAGAGTGTTTAAGCTTATGCTTTCATTTGCCACTATTAAAGAAAGAACAGTAGAGTAATTCCATAATAGTACTAGTTTACAATTACATTTTTTTGTGAATTGGTCATAGGAAACTTGAAGAATTCTGTTATTTTCAGGGCTGAGGTTGAATTCATTTGGGCTTTAATATCAACTATTGGTCTTTCTGCAGACAGTCACTTTCAGGGTAGATTTACTGTGTTTCAGGGTAGCTTTTCACACTCTACACTGTGGGCCTGGGGACGGGTTGACTACCAACAAAAAGTTGCTAAGCTACTTCTTGGGGCATGCTCCGAGTTAATGTCCCTTTAGGACTAAAGAGGTGCCCCCCTCCACTCCCGGTTGTAAATGTTGACTCACTTCATAAAAGACTCCAAAAAACTGAAATTTCTCTTTCTTCTGCACTCAAGATGTTTGCATTCTGTTTGTTAAAATGGAGTAATGAGCTTTACATTTTAAACACCATGTCCTAGAATTGTAACAAGCTAATTATTCAATTTAAAACACATAACAAACTAAGCTTCCTGTTAACAAGTGGCATTTTTGATCTACCAATTATCTGGACAAATATTATGATGGTCAGTTTTCTCATATGTTCTGCTTTCAATTTACTTCATGATTCAATTAAGCAGTTGTCAATACATGACAAGAAAAATAAGCTCCCTAGTCCATCGTGGCCAAGACATATCATTAACATTGATGTCTAACACACAAGTTATTGCACACTGAGATATCTTAATAGTTGGATAACATCCTTCTTTTAAAATAATATGTGTGGATTAGAGATTTTGCAGTCTAGGCACAAAAGATATCTTCTGAATCCTTCTATTATTCAGAAAGTAATTAAAATCAACTAAATAGATTACAAAGACAAGAAGAGCAAAAAATTGTAATCTCCTGATGAATGTATTATGAATTGGAGTCAATTATTCTTATGCATTTCTATTACACTTGGCCTTTGTAATCTAGAAGCTATAAACTTCAATATTTTCAATTCAACATATAAATCATTATATTAGAAAATTCCATTTAAAAACCTATAGAAGTTAAAATGGTTTAAATATAGATACAAATGGCAAGTATGAAGGTTTTCAATATGTTAATCCTGTAATTTGAAAATATTATTTGGGCAATATTCTTAATCTCTTAAATATTCATTAAATGGATTTTACAGGAAGAAGGTAATAAAATCATTTTTGAGCAGCGATTTCATAGTTGTGAATGAAAATATGATGCATTATAAAGTGCAAGTGACTCCAGCATCTTCAGAATGTGAACACGCTCTTGTTCCCCATTGTCGAATTTTACATTCTTCAATAGATGATTCTCTCCCAAAACAATACACTTCATTCAGCCATATTGGACCAGTACCTGCAATAATGAGGTGCAACTGCATTAGTAAATTTAGAGTTCAGTGTTTCTGTTTGTGTGGGGCAAAGCCATTAATTCCTTCACTAATTAAACAAAAAAAGTGTCTATTATTTTCTGTAGGCAAGTTCTGTGCTCTCTAGTAGGAATCAAACATTAATCTCCTGCTTCAGAACACTTATACTGTTAACCTGTAAACTACTAAAATGCAAAGTAACAAGAGCTATAACAAAGGTACCTACACAGTTCTATGAAAGTAGAGATTAAGAATTTTTTTAAAGAATTTGACAAATTAGTTTTATTATTAATCTAAAAATAAAGAAGAAAGTTTCAGCCTTAATAATCATGGGTGTATGTAATAACCTGATGATCCAAGTGTATATGTATGTCAAAAGATCTTAGGGGTATATTTGTATGTAAGATAAACTGGAAAAAGGAAAACTTAATCGAAGCATCTTCCTCCTTTTCTTATCTTCCCATGTATTTCAATTTATGTGTGCCTGGTTTATCAAATACATTATCTATTTTTAATTAAAGTAGAACTAATCTAATCAGCCAAGGGCCTACAAACCATCCTGTAAGGAAATCATGGATTAAGAATGTTACTAATTGCAAGCACAAACAAACAGCAAGAAAATGACAGAGCAAAGATTTTCATGAGCTGATCAATTATGAGAGTGGTAATAGTAAGTTGGAGAGCCCAAGTATTTTGTGAGGTGTTTATAACAGTACTGAGCTTTTTTGACTTGAAATTTTAAGGCAGAAGAAGGAAAAGAGTAAAGGAATATGATCTCAAAATCAGAAACCTTGCCAGGGACACTTTTTAGTTCCCAAATTAATCTTACTAGGCATGGCATGTTCCCTTTTGTGTTTGTGATTGTATGTGTCAGCATATTTTTATGTGTATATGTGTTTGTATATCTGTGTTTCCTTTTAAGTATATAAAGTCTATAAAAACTTTTTGAAAGCCTCAAAGGGCTACTTAAAAATACATGCAAATACAAACAATTGCGCAAATAGTAAGACTATTCCCATGTTAATACAGGAGGAAGCCAAAGTACTGAGACATTTGTAAATTGTATCTATTATATTTATTGTCATTTATAAATTGTATAAACAAACAGAAATTAAACTTTTGGTGAAAGCCATGGCTCTGTCATAATTTGGAGAGTGTGAGAATGGCTCCATGAATTCTGAACCTGGGCTACTGTGATGCTTTGGCATTATATTTTGTAGGCCTAGTCAGTGAATTTAGATTTCAGCAGTGCAGAATTTGTACAATCCAGGAAAAGGAAATTGAGAGTGGGAATTCTCCAAATGTCTACAGCACCAGCAAGGTCATCCCAACATGAACAGCAAAGGAAAAACATTATTTAGTTGATTAATGTGCTGACATGTAAGCACATGTTTTTAGAAACTGTGCTAAGGGAATTCATGAATGTTAGAATACCAAGGTTGTGGTCATAATAATGAAAATTTAAGTCCACTCTTTTAAGAATTTTATGTGGCAGGAAACACTTACACATTTGATGTATTATTCCATGGAATCCTCAAATAAATTTCAAAAACTGAATGCCATTATTATGTCATTTTACTGTTTAAGAAACTGAAAATCAGCGAGGATAAGGAATTATGTGTGCTCAAAGTCACATAGCATTCCCACCCCGTGTCTACCCTGAGCCACTGCCTTTAATCAATGACTTACTGCAACCTTCATTGTCAGACTTACTTATTTAGCAAATCTGCTTTGAGTGCCTACATGAGTGAACAAGACCAAAGTCCACACTCTTGTGGACTGACTTCCTGGGAGGGCTTATCTTCTAGGTAGATGAAGCAACTGAGATCACATATGCAATCATGCCAGAGCAAATACCGTATCTAGAGCCTCTGATTCTTATTCCGGTTATTTTTCCTCTGAGGACACATGGATGTCACAAATGTATTGTGGAATTTGGTATCTCTGTCTTTTGCTATGTGGAAAAGTTTCAGACACAGTGAAATTTTTTTAAGCACTTGTGTATAAGGTAATATGCTAGGTCTTTTCACATACATTTCTAAATTTACTTTTTATAATAACCTTGTTAAATAATGGTAATTATCTCCATTTCATAGATACATAAACTGAGACTCAGAAAGGGTGTATGACTTTCTCAAAATTACAAAGAATAGATCTAGGCAACAGAACATCATGACACTTAAAGCTTAGTGATATGTATTGGTTACACAGATGTCTAGAGAGAATTATAGAAGTAATTTCCAAAGATTTGTTGTTTTATTTTTACATTAATATATTCAAGACTATTGAGCCCAGGGGAAAAATTTATTTAATACATATTTTCCATCTCATTCCAAATTGTTTTCTGCATTAAAAAATTAATGCAGAGATAGTATAAAATTCATAAAATTTTATCCTTGTGTAAGCCAATGAGATAAAAAACAAATTTGTTTTTATTTCTTTAGATAATAACTGTTACTCAAGGATTTTCGTTGTTGGGGCTGACATTGTTATTATTTTCTTTGTGCCTCTGAACTATTATTTCTAGTCAGTGGAAAGCTGTACAAAAAGTATGTGTGTTTCTTAGATATGTTTTTAGTCTCTAATCCTTTTCCTCTCTCTCTCTCTCTCTCATCTTTCCACCTGTATACCTAGCCATATATACATCTATGATGTCTTTTATAATTTGAGGATTGTAGGGATTGATACTGATTTTATATATACGATATATGATATTGATTATATATATATAAAAGATATATATTTTATATATATATTTTTTTTTTTTTTTTTGAGACAGAGCCTCCCTCTGTTGCTCAGGCTGTAGAGCAGTGGTGTGATCTCGGCTCACTGCAACCTCCGCCTCCTGGGTTCAAATGATTCTCCTGCCTCAACCTCCTGAGTAGCTGGGATTACAGGTGTGCACCACCATACCCAGCTAATTCTTGTATTTTTAGTAGAGACGAGGTTTCACCATGTTGGCCAGGATGGTCTTGATCTCTTGACCTTGGGATCCACCCACCTCAGCCCCCCAACGTGCTGGGATTACAGGGGTGAGCCACTGCGCCTGGCCTCCTCTTAACCTCTTTATAAAAAATGAAAGACACTGATATTTCTTTGGGGTATTTGGGTATCTTTAATCTTACCAGCATTTCTATGAAAAATAAAAGATAATCAGTTTCATACCTCACCCAGATATATTATAAAATGATGAGATTTGAGATCAGCTGCTGAATAGATAAATGGGGGTACGAATATCATTAATAGTTAAAAGTGTCTGAATGTGTATTTTCATTATATCTAGTCATGGCTGAGTGACATAAATTTCTATCACTTTTAAGCCTAGTTGGGAAGTGTTTTGTGAACAGTGTCTGCTTTGAGAAAAACATTGTGAATGAAAGTTGAAAACACCGTGGGAATCAAAGTAGAGACGAATGGGTAAATAGTGCATATAGTTTGGATTCTAGTTTTGTGCTTATAGAGAAACCACTTATTTTTCCTCAATTTTATGATATGCAGAATACAGGGGTAAGGGTAACATAGCTTTAAGACTTTGTCTACCTTTAATATTTCATGACTCTAAGATTCTGAAGAAGCAAGCTCTTTAGAAATGAAGTTCTTAAGTATAAAGGACTTGGAAGGATGTTCCATCTGGCGGAGAAAGCATGGTATGCGAGCCAGGTTAAGGCATGAATCTTGACCCTTCTTCCCACCCCCAAGCACCCACAACCAACATAATGACTACGTAAATGTGTACAAGTTTGGTGACCTCTGCTAGCCCTATTTATTTTCTCTATGGAAAAAAAAGCTATTTTTCTATGATTACCCAGCTCTATGGACCGGCCCTATATTACTTTCCATAATATTTGACATTCAAACATTTACATTTTAAAACATTCAACGCACAAAGAGCAGTATGTAAAAATTTGACTTGTGACCCTTTGATCCATTTATTTATCTTTGAGATTAGTTTTACTCCCATTCATTAAAGGATAGTTCAGAGGTATAGAGTTGTATTTTTTGATTGCCTTCTGTTTACGCTTATGTTTTTTTTTTTTTTGAAAATTTCACATAGAAAATTGATTATGGTATATGAAAGTGGTAATAAAAAAGCAAAGAAAAGTTAGCTAAGAATAACTTCTAAATGGCATTTATGTTTAGATGTGACTTTTGTTTCTGTTTTCAGGTTTGGAATTTCAGCACTCCAAACTCAGGAGAGGATGCAATAGTTACTCCAGATCTTACTTCCTTCACCAGCATCCACACAGGCTCAGATATACCTGGAGCAAATTCTTGGAGGTACCACTGTTGCCTGATAAAGCTCATCCAAGTTTGCTGCAGGGAGACCACAGGCACAAGAGCTTGGAAAGCCTGGATACAGGGCCAAAAGTACTCACTCTCCTTTCGCTGCCCTGTGCATTGATGAACAGTAGATGCCCCTCAGTGCTTACTTAATTAAACTTGTTTTGGCTGGTCAGAAAAAAGGTGCATCCAAATGAAAGAACCGATTTAAAGGAGCATCCTGGAAACTTTATTACTGTAAGTCATTTTACTGGCAACTGCAAAACTAATTGTTCTTAACACTAACAAGGATTCTATCTGCGAAGCCAGGTTTGCTATTTAAAACTAGAAAAAAAATATGTGGAGACTGTCCAAAAATTATATTGTTTCTGCAATGAGGGATTATATAAAGAGGATTCATTTAAGTTGTTTTCTGGCTGGGCACGGTGGCTCATGCCTGTAATCCCAGCACTCTGGGAGGCCGAGGTGGGCAGATCTCGTGAGGTCAGGAGTTCGAGACCAGCCTGATCACCATGGAGAAACCCCGTCTCTACTAAATACACAAAAAATTAGCTGGGTGTGGTGGAGCATGCCTGTAATCCCAGCTCCTTGGGAGGCTGAGGTAGGAGAATCGCTTGAACCTGGGAGGCAGAGGTTGCAGTGAGCAGAGATTGCGCCACTGCACTCCGGCCTGGGCAAAAAGCAAAACTCCATCTCAATAAATAAA